GGTTGTCTTACGAGTATTTCCTCACGCCACGAAGGAACTCTCCTCTGCTGGAATCGCCGCTGTTGAAATCACCAATAGTAGTGAGAAAGTTGCCCATAATTAAATTAAGCAAACCCATGGCTGTACCAGACGCAAGCGCAGCCATACTTGCGGCACCCACCATCACGAGATCAGCCGGGCTCGCATATGTAAAGATCCTCTGGTCATTAACACATATATAAGTACTTCGCAAATTAAAGTTAGGATGAAAGAGAAGCATGAGGAAAAGGTACCTTGTAAGCATTGAACCCGGATAGACGATGTTCTTGATGTCCCTGTGTTTTCACATCATCCCTAACATTTTCGTCTAGCAGAGGGCTCGGGGGCTCCTCCTCGTTTTTCTCCGCCCCATCAATCGCCATCTCTTGTAATCAAGTGAGTTAAAGACCAGTCCAAGGATTCAAAGCAAGAAATGAAATAAGTGGTCTGAAAGAAATCGTAGGGGGTAGGAATGTTATATCATAATTCCGTTGGCTTTCAATAACAACCTGAGACGCAGCTCTGTACGTCTCTCCATTGAGAAGGCAGGTGGAAAAGCTAAAAGTATACTCCATCATTGGGTGTTGTCAAGAGTTTGCCAAGTATCCGGAGTCCGTTTGACTGTAGATCAGGCCATGTATAGGTGGACATCAGAGGTCCCGTATTGCGTTCGGGGCCGGAGTTCAAGGGATCCGGATCCGCCACCACAGAGTGTCTCGGCCCCCGCACGGCTGGGCGCCCGGGTTCCGAGGACGCTTGTATCCACTCGTCCACGGTTGGAGATCGTGATAGGTCATTGCATCCAAGACAGCCACACGCTTATACGCAATCAGCCAAGGCTCGGCCTGACTCAAGGCGTTGGCCCTTCACTGTTCTCACCGGACAGAAATGCAGCTCGCAACTCCGGTCCGTTCCAGAGCACAACACACCGCAAGAAACAAGCGATATCAGTGTATGTGGCTAGAAGCCTGTGCTTCGGACGATAATGGATGACGGCGGTGCCGAGAAGGACGCGTCGGAGCAATACAATCACCTAGCAAATCGCCTAGCTGTAAGTGGATTGTACATTTATTTTCGTCTTGTTTCGATCTCCTGTTACGTGTTTTGGTGCTCACGGCAGATCAATACCTAACTCCCAAATAAGAGATGCTGACTTGATTTTACTGATGTCAAGTGTGACCAATGTCGAACTCGCAAAGTAATATAGACCCCTGACTTCATGACAGCGTTTAAACTTACGCTCACATATATTTCTAGGTCGGCTGCAATCGTCAAAGTCCTTGTAGCAGCTGTCTTCGAGCCAAAATCGAGTGCAGGTTTACCTCGAAGCAGAAGCCGCTTGTGAAACGCCAACGCGTTCACGTCTCGGTCGAGTAGTAAGCTTTGCGATTGACATGTGATTGAATCTATGAAATTCTAGGTTAACATGTCTTTGACAGTGAAAAGAAACTCGACATACTAGAGGAGCGTCTGAACGAAGTCGTCCAGCTCCTAAAACATCCTAAAAGCCCCCCTAATATTGCAGTCTCCCATGATGAATCTAAACGGAGCTTCCGTCATGAGTTCAATGCTGCTCCTCCCTCCATTACGACACCAAAAAGTCGTACCAGCTCCTGTGCTGTACTCAAACCCAACTCAAATAGTAATGCAAGTCTTGCTGCGACCCCCCAGGCGCTATTTGAGGGTGACTCGTCCCTCGCCGCCCATACGGTCTTTACTAGCAACGTACTCGAAAGTGCCTTCAATGATGGCCCATTCAAGGATTTCAAACTTGAGATGACTGAGACCCTAGCAGGGCTTCGGGCTATTGTCGACGCTCAGAATAAGCCATCTACGATCTACAACCTCTCCTACCCAAGTGCATCCACAGCCTCCACCTATTCATGCTCGGCTAAGGAACGAGCTTTGCCATCTATGGAGCTGGCCATGACAACACTTCGAATGGTCAAAGGTATGGGCATTGAGTTCTAATGTTCATAGTTGTCATCATCTAAAAGAAAGTTTAGAAGACACTGGTCTACCCGGAGCATGGATGGCTTGCTTGCTACCGATTGACAAACTCATTGAGCATGCATTGAGGGTGTATTTCCCCGGGGATTACAGTGATGCTGATTTCATTATCGTCAATGCCGGACTTCATGGCTTGTTTCTCGACCGCATAGGTGTCGAGACCGACCCCGAAATTCGGAGCGAGATTGAACTCAACGACGCCATATGCCAGGCCAACCTCGAGACAGCTCTGAGCTGCCTCCCATTACATTTGGTGCCATGCCTGGATAATGTTATAGCCCTCACTCTTGGTGTAAGTGATTATTGAAAGACCGCAAGACAGAGCGGAATAAGCTTACGAGCATATTTACAGGCATGGCACGCTATAGATCTGTGCAAACCAGCCATTTGCAGTGTTCTGACATCTGCAGCTGTACAAATGTCACAAACACTAGGATATCACAAACTCCAATCAATGAAAAACGACACTCCTGCTGTCAGGAGCCAGAAGATATGGACTTTCTGGATGCTGTACATGATGGATAAAAGCTTGTCCCTCCGTCTTGGGCGATCATCTTTTATTCAAGACTCCGACATTGGTATCCCCGAGCCCGAAGATATTGAGCCGAAGCCAAGTCCCATTGTCATGTTTATGTCTAGATGGGTTAAGGTGTCTCGGATCCAGGCCAAAGTGTACGATCAGCTCTACAGCCAATCTGGCCTTTCGGAGCCTAGCTCTATTCGAGCCGCCCGAGCCAATGCCCTGGCCTCTGAGATTAAATCCATCATCTCAGCCAATAATGATAGACAGGTGAGTTCTCCATCTGGAAAGTTGTCCAATGGTTATTTTCCACGGTGTGTACTACGCGGATCGAACTCGTTGCTTACACTATGTCACAAAGATTTTCAAAAACGAGTGGGATACACTTGTAATTGGTCAGTCATTAGGTCTGATGATCGTGAGCGATGAGATTCTGCATCTGTCTGTCCTCACTCTCATCCTACGGGCTATTCCTGTTCCCGGAGGCTCTCCCGTCAGCTTTTGCGAAGAGTGCATCATTACCGCTCGGGCTACACTCGACCTTCACCAATCATGCATGCCAATGTTGAAGAACGACATGCAACTTGACGTGTATATCAAACAGTAAGCAACATGTTCTTCAGCAGTCGTTGGAGTCCTGACAAGGAGCTAACATCATCATCTGCTAAAGAACACTACTTTATACACCCTTCACACCTTTTTTCATTCTTTTTTGTCATGTAATTGACACATCTGACAAGTCTGACCTCGAGCGCCTACATGCCTTCGTCATGTCATTGCAAACGGCCAGCACGCTGTCAGACGCTTCAGCCACACTTCAACGCCTCTCCCAGGTTCTCTTCAATATTGCCCTGCGCTATGTAGAGGTCAAGGCCCGGGCGGTGCCGAACACATCGGATCAAACTGGTCGCGAATTTGATGAGTATTTGCACGCATTGGGACTTGTTTCTACGACTACTTCTGGTCCAGGCGATGGCTCTAGCATGGCGTACGCTGAAGCGCAAGGTTTTCCGCACGCTGCGGAAGATTCTTCTTATGTCGCAGACTGGTTCCACAGCAACCAGCAGATGATGGGAATGCTAGAAGACAATTACTTCCAGATTCCAGATTCCTTGCTACCACCAATGTAGCGAACGGGTCTTAACTAAAGGTCACTCAAGGGAGGATGGGTGTAGACAGGGCTTTTGCGGCATGTATTTGTCGCTGCTTATTTGTACTCGCGATAGCCTGGTTAGGAACTCTATTTGGTCTAATGAATAAAAAGATCTAAGAGGAATGATGATTCAACTTTTGGGATTTAAAAGTAGTGTAAGGGCTCCAATTCTTACATGAGATTCTTCCCCGAAGAACTAGATCATTGCGCCGAATATAGAAATTCGCCGTCGAGACCTTTCTAAAAACTTTTATACATGATCGCGAGGAATCGAGTAATCGTAGTCCCGTCCAAACACGTGCTCTTCATTTTTGAACACGTCCAGTCTCGAGGTGATGTGAAATTCGGTCAGAGACGCCTTCATGCGGCTCCACCCTTCCGTTACCAACGTGAGCTCGCCACGGCCATATTCCTTCCGGAACCGATGCTCGACGTGTGCAGAAAGTGGATCGTCGGGGAGTACGCCGCAATTGAATTTCCCACTTGCGCCGAAGCGCCAGCCGTTATCCTCATACTCCACCAGTCCGCTATCCGTGTCGATGCAAAGACTTACTTCGCTGGTCTCCAAGTCCTGGGTGATAGTAGATTTGTGACTCCCCTCTCGCAGTTTGATGGTTTGTAGGGGTTTACCATTCTCGGCTGGTTCAAATGGAGGAAGTTCTGTATCTAGCGGACTTTCAGCTCGTACGGGGAGATGTAATATACTATGAGCAAGGTCAACGGTCAATGTGGCTGCCTCCGGAGATGGCCAAATAATAGGAAAGTAGGACGTTGACAGCGCAAGGCGCAGGCGGCTTCCAGCGCTTATCCGCTGCCCGCAGTCATTTAGCCTTAGAGTCGCGTTGTAAAAGCGGCCGGGCTCGAGGGGTTGGATATCAGTGTGGCCGTGGCGGTGCGTGAGATTTAGAACACCGTATGTTAGTCGTGTCGCAGAGCCATCGGGGAGGATCTCGGAGACCACAGCTGCAATGAAAGCGCTGGACTTGTTGCTTGACACGCGTAGGTTGACGACTATGGCACCGAGAAGATCGACGGGTTGGCTGAGTGCTTCACCGTCAAATACTAACGAGCCGCCAACTTCTTGTCTTTGGTCACCGGGGCCGTCACCATTGAGACCGAATGGGCACCATCGTCCAGCGGCAAAGCCCACGGTCTGCGGTGAACATACGGAAATCTTCTCGTCGCTTGATCCAATGCTAGAGGTAAGCCGACCGGGAGCAAGCCCTAGAGGCTGAGGTAGGAGACCTTGACTAGGCACACTGGCTTCCGCCACCCAGCGTCCGGGGCGCGAGGCGTGAGTGGTGCGAGGGGGGACTGTATCCTGAATGTAGGAACGGAGAACCGGCTCCTCCATAATACCCGTCTCGGTGCCCTTCAGCCATTTATCCCACCAGCGTATGGACTCTTGGAGGAATCCGATCCGCGGCCCAGGCATGGCATAGTTTGGATAGGCGTGGGCCCAAGGACCGATCAGGCCTTTCTTGGGGCTTTCGAGATGTTCGAGCATGCGGAAGACAGGATTTGTATACGCATCCATCCAGCCGCTGACCAGATAGACGGGACATTGAATGGCGCCATAGTCTTCGCAGATTGAGGCATAACGCCAGAACTCATCGCGTCGCTGATGCTCATGCCATTCTGAGAGGTAGTTTCCACCAGCTTCAAGCCGTCGCATCCAAATATCGTACCACTTGTCGCCGACAATAGCAGGGTCAGGTGGCCCGGGCATAATACCAAACATCGCGGCGCCCCAGGTAAAGTTCTCGATAAGCAGACAGCCTCCCATGTAGTGGACATCATCGGCATAGCGGTCGTCACTTGAGCACATTGAGATGATGGCTTTCAGCTCAGGGGGGCGGCGCGCGGCAACCTGAAGGCTATTGAAGCCGCCCCATGAGTTCCCAATCATACCGACGGAACCTGTGCACCAGCGCTGGGAGGCGATCCATTTTAAAATCTCCAATGCATCATCCTGCTCCTGTTGCAGATACTCGCCATGCAACACACCCTCAGAGTCGCCGGTGCCCCGCATATCAACACGCAAGCAGGCATAACCACGAGCTGCCAGATATGAGTGGATGAGAGCGTCTACCTGGGCCATCATATCTCGCTTGCGGTAGGGCAAATACTCGAGTATGGCGGGAACTGGATTGGAGCGCGCATCTTCGGGCATCCATATGCTGACAGACAGGATGGTCCCGTCTGACAGGGGAATCTCTTCATGTCCGCAATAGGTGATCGGTTTAGTGTGAGAAGCCATTCTAGATGTTCTTCATGAGATACACAATAGTGCAACAAAGTACGTCAAATAATGGCAAGATCTCCGAGAAATGATCCTCTCTAGAAGCTGTAGGTCGTGAAATCTGTAGCTCTTGGCCAGGGCGATGTCGCGCTTGGCGACCCTCGTGAGCGGCCCACCCGAAGGATTCAAGCTCTGGCAGCCCTACCACCAAGAGAAACCTCATCTACAGCGAGACAAGGCCTACCGGTTCTACGGTAGCAGCAACAAACATATGTCTCTCTTAGATCCAGACTCGCCATCTTAAATGATTGAAGTTGCTTCTAAGCTTTCTTATCTCGCTGTTGATGGTCAGATCACCAAACCCAGATGCGCTATTCGTTGTCAATCAATGCCCAGAAATCCACTACAATGCTGTCACTCGCATTGTGCGGCGCATCTCTAAATAAAGATGATTGATGTGAGAAGTCTGGTGTCGAGTTTGGTTGCCGCATGCCTCTTGCACATCAAATCTGTATTGCAAGCTTCCGCAATCCGTTTCTGAAATCGAACCAGCTGGAGCGGATTTCCAGCTAGTTCGTTAGTATCTAATTGGCGGGCAAGTCCACTCACTAGCATTGATCCATCTGACAGGCGGGGGATGGGACGTTCACGTGGACGGCTCTGCCGATCACCCTGAGTCAATTGTTTGAATTTTGCGTGACAGGGACCACGGCGTCTAGACTTCCTTGTCTACGTGGTTGTGTGGATATAATCACTTCGAGCAGAACCCTACGAGTTCGATGCGCTGAAGGTCCTTGATCATCGTCAGCAAGCCGCAGATAGTCGTACCCGCGGTCGAGCCCTGTTATTGGGTCCCTGTTTAGTGATCACGGTCTCAGTCTGCCTGTAGATATTCCAGGGGTTTCACTTCACTATTAACTCTGCCCCTTAACGCGCATCAGTGTATCAGCGTGCTTGTGCTTTAGTTCGGGCCAAACTCATTCTTTGGCAGACTTCTAGCACTGATTATTACGTCGATTTTTGACAGAGTCAATTCTCACATTTCCTTCTACCCCCTAGATGTGAAATCGTCAGTAAAAGCTTGTCATCTGCTTCCAATACGCGGAAATAGATTCAATTCTGAGCAGAGTGTCTCTCGAAGGGCCATTTGGAATGCACCACGTTTGAGCCGGGCAGAATCGATAGGCTGGTGTTTGTCTGCCGCGTATTTGTGCCTGGCGCCGATTGTTAGCTCGTCGGGATGACATCGACTTACATCATGGACTCGGTAGTTCGGTGTCAGCGCCCCCCGCACTTCCCTGTTTTCAGGCCCGCCGCCGGACCTGGCGATCACCGCATCACCTCGACTTAAATAGGACCGACTGGAATCTTGGCACGGCATGCCAAGAAAACGTTGACAGCTTCAATCACCTCAATCAAAGACACATTACAACCCGAGCAAACAGGGAGCAACTATGGTCTGGCAGCACGGCGACGAACACAACATACCAAAGGAACATGAGGTCCACAGCCATGGCTACTGGTTCCCAGCTGACCGGCGAGTTCACCATGAGTGGCTGCGCCGTCAGGTCAACCACGTCGACAAGAATCCCAAGGATCTCATTCCTGTAATGCAGGAGTTCAAGGACTTCATCGAGAACAACACACGCATCTACATGTACTTCTGCCAGATGTGGGATGAGATCCCCATGAAGCGTCCGTACAACAAGGATCCAACGGGCCATAAGCAGATTCGTGACTATGAGCATATGCTGGCAGTTCTAAATCATACCTTTTCGAGAGCTCCGGAGTGGACTGATGCAGCCGAGAGTGTTGGCATGGTGGGCGTGCCGATGTGTGCCATATTTGACTATGCGATGGGGACGCCGAGGTGCGTTGAAACCTTGCGCATCTCTTCTGGATGATCACTGACGGTGATGCAGCGGCCACGCAGCATTCTTAGACCCTGATGTCAACAAAATGCTCAAGAAAGTACTGAATGAATGGGGCAAATTTCTCAAAGTAGAGTCACACCTCAATGTTGGACCTAGTGATGTTTGCTGACTGCGCGATAGACTGCTGAGTCTGCCGAGGTGCTCGGAGATCACAAGGTGGGCTGGTTCGGGGAGGTCGGCTACAAGGATCTGATGCAAGTGGCAAATGCACCGTACAAGTCTGACCACAAGTTCGAGAATATGTACATCTGTGATCCGTCAGCCAAGCACTTCGGGTTCAAATCATGGGACGGTAAGATCACCGGCAGCAGGAAGTGGAAAACGGTGCTAACCCTATCCAGACTTCTTCACCAGAAAGGTCCATGACTCCGCACGGCCAGTCGCCGATCCCGATGATGATAATGTCATTGCAAACGCCTGCGAGTCAAAGGTCTACAACGTGGCTCATGATGTCAAGTTGCGAGACAAGTTCTTCATTAAGGGGCAGCCGTACTCTATCGTCGACATGCTGGCTGGAGATCCTCTTTCTAGGCAGTTCGCTGGAGGCACAGTTTATCAGGCATTCCTTTCCGCTTTGTCGTACCACCGCTGGCACTCGCCTGTATCGGGCACTGTCAAGAAGGCTTTCGTTCAAGATGGCACATATTTCTCAGAACCCCTCTTCGAAGGTGTCGGCGATCCATCAAATCGTGGAGAGGAGATTGACTCGAAGGGTATCAGCGTCGCTCAAGGTTATCTCACCGCGTTAGCAACACGCGCAATCATCTTCATCGAGGCAGATAATCCCGCGATTGGACTCATGGTATTCATTGGCATTGGTATGGATGAGGTCAGCACGTGTGAGATTACGGTCAAGGAAGGACAGCACATCAAGAAGGGCGATCAAACTGGAATGTTCCACTTCGGCGGCTCAACGCATTGCCTAATATTTCGGAAGGGAGTCAAGGTAGAAGGCTTTCCTCAACCTGGAAGGCAGGCGAACGTTCCGGTGAGGAGCAAATTGGCAACTGTGAAGACCTAGACTGAGGCGCAAGATATTCAAGCTTAGGTGCTATGTAGTTCTTTTCTGGGGCGTGTTGGAAAGTCATGGATGATGAATACTTTTGTACAATGAAAGAAGTCTCATCAAAATTGGCGTAGGGCTAGTTATTCAAGGGCCGCGAGGAAAGTGCTAAATGTCTTGCCCTATAAAGCTCACAACTCTTGATTTTGTCGTCACCGCACGCGTTCCTTCTCACACTTTCACTGCTGGTTGCAGCTGAGACTCCGAAGTTCCTTTTGAGAACGGAGCAGCATAGCCATAAGTCTTCCAACCCTTCGTGTAGTCTACTTCGGGGTCGCGCTCTAGATGTCGGGTCAAGTATGTTAGAGATACAATCACGAAGAATCAAATGGTAAGGCCCTCACCGTGGTCGGGGGGAAATGTCGCTCGGCGGTGAGCATAATATGTCTCACGAAGATCAGCTCCGTCCTGCAGCATGCTGAAGGTCGCATATAAGCTCGCTCTGCGCTCTGTCGTTTCATTCGATGCACTTCGGTGTGCTAGGTGACTGCCAAAGATGAGAATGTCGCCTGGGTCCAAAGGCACGGGAACCCATTCGTGCGAAGAAACCCAGGACTCAGCGATGCGACCACCCTCAGCTAATTCTACATCCATCCTGTGAGAGCCCGGCACTACTTCCAGGCATCCGTTGGCAACAGTAGCGGCGTCAATAGCAACGTTTGCAGTGACATGCTCAATGCGACCAATATGATCGTAAGCGGGTGCATCCAAATGTGGTTGAAAGCCATTTCCATGTGGCGATTTGTAATTTATTTTGTCCTTGAATAAAAGCATAGTCTATGGAGCTATTAGCCAGTATCACAAAAGGAAGACCCAAGCCCAGAGTATTTGAATTTGCAGCCTACATCACCAGTCAGCTGGCCTAGAAGGCCGGCGAGGTCAGGGCCGAAGAGCAAGGATCGGAAACCATCATGGTAGTCTGCAAACTTCTCCGTTCTCATAAGTTGAAGTTCGCCAGCCAAGTTGACCTCGTCGTATGGCATCCATTTGCCACGGACTCTAGGCCAAGCGGCGATCTCATTCGTCCATTTTTGTAAGTTCTCTGGGTCAACTAAGTCGTGATCATGGACACGGAGCAGCAGGTAGCCGTCCTTATGGTAGCTTGCAATTTGCTGTGGCGAGAGAATACCCATTGTTATGCAGCCTCAGTACAAAATGCAGTATGCTCATACAGCTGTAAGCAAAGTAGTCGCATGGAGGCTTCTGAAGCCTGCAGGTTATAAGTTTCTATGGTGGATTTTCAATGACACCAATGACACTCCTGGCACGTCAGTGCCAAACTAGGCACGGCGCCTGCGCCGTATGTCGGGCATCATGCCGTATCGGCAGCCGCGCCGTGTTTTAGTCTCCTTCTATAGCCCTACCCACCTTTGTACTCCGTTGACGACAGAATAGGTGCTTCACTGCCGGTTACAATGATAGATGATGTGTATGTTAAAAACAGGCCAGATTTCTATCAAAATCTGACTTTGTAAGTGGGTTGCGGGGCGCCTGCTCATATCGTGAGTGCAAATATCGAAATTACAGAGCCAACAAATTCAAATCGCTGGATAATTGATCATCCTGCATCTCTTCTTACGAATCTCGTTCAAGCATGGCTTCAAATGAGCAGCAGAACTCGCCTCGCGAAGTAATCAGAACCTTATTTTCGTACTTGGAAGCACAAGGTCAGGGTGATTACATGGGCGAGGCTGTTTCACAACTGGAACACTCTCTACAAGCGGCGGCACTGGCTGTTGACAATGGAGCAAATGAGCCAACAATTCTTGCCGCACTGCTCCATGACGTAGGGCGATTCATCCCAGAAGCAAAGTCGTTGCCCCCATTGATCGCGCCCGATGGTACGTCTTTTGGCACCGAAAGGCACGAGACAGTCGGCGAGAAGTATCTTCGCGGACTCGGGTTCCCCAGAGACATATACGAGGTTGTAGGCGTTCACGTCTGGGCAAAAAGATATTTGTGTGCCACAGAGCCTGGTTATTGGGACTCTTTGAGCAAGTTGAGTAAAGTTACATTGGAGTTACAGGTAAGTTTTTGGCGTCAGCATGAACTGAACTTAGATAATGACAAACAAAAAATCAGGGAGGCACTTTCACACTAGAGCAAGTTGAGAAGGCAAGGAGCGATCCGCTCCTAGAGAGCAAATTGAACGTAAGAAGATGGGATGATCAAGCCAAAGTTGCGGGTAAGCCTGTTCCTGGATTACAGGCATATGAAGATATGGCGGTCCGTTGCATTCAAAGTAAGTAAACAGTGTTGTGAAACCCGTTCACGCAAATCCGAGGATAGTACAATATAGTTGTAAACAGCAATTTCATATTTCCGTGTGAACAATCACTGGCCTTCTCTGTCTGAGCCGATGAGTTCGAATGATAAGATAGGTATTGATCTCTAATTTCTTAAGAGTTGGTCCGAAGTCCCCGAGACTGCTGGAATGTCGAGTCATGAAGACTAATGGGCCTGTAGGTTCTTGACCGGTTAAGTCAGGATCGCTCACCAATCCCTGAAACAAGTCATGGGGCCAACTTCCGGCAAATCTCATCAAAGCTGATCTAACTTTTCCAGGGTCAGCAGTCGTATCTATAGAGATATTACGTAGCGACGCAAATAGACTAGGGGACGTGGTCGGTGCAGGATAACCGTCTCCAGCTGTCGGGCGATAATCGGCGGAAGTAGATTCGTCCTCAGATGAAGAGTCCGGCTGCAGTGAATCATCAAATCCTAGCAGCTCCTCCTCCTGCACACCGCAGATGTATGCCTCGCGATACAGTGCATGCATACCCCTTAATGTTTTAACCCAGGTTCGAGCAGCCTTCCAATGGTCTTGCCATGACACAAACACTGTGACAATCAGGTCAAAATAGTGTCGTGCCCGATCCATAGCATCGACGGTCGCATGATCTGGATCTTTGGCGTATACTAACCAAAGACAAGTATTCGCAACAGAGAGAAGCGCCGCTGCAACCCATGTGCATTGTAGATCCTGGCGGGCTTTAGCGGAGAGATGATAGATTTGACTCAGATTTGCTACAGTAGCAAGTGCATTTGTGATCGCATTTTTAATGAAGTCTGGCTCACGATGGAGCAGAGACCAACCTGCTGTGTCGACCGTGTCATGAAAAAGAGAAGATCCATCTAGTTGAGGTAGATACCACTGATATGCCACGCAGAAAGCACTGCGAATGAGGAAGTGCATGGTTAGGAACATGCGCCCTTGGTTGAGATCAGCCAGGTTCAAGTAGTTTTCCACGCTCCAGCTCAGACTCGGAGGTAATGACCTCTCCCAGTCTTCCATATCCCGGTGAGCTTGGGCAAAGGGGCTTCTAGGGTCTGTTGGGGGCTGTGTTTCGGTAAACCGACCGTAACAGACATTGAAATCCGCAATCTCGCTCCAGAGGCTCATTGTTTTAATAAGGTAAGACATAAGGCCAATCTCAGATGGATAGCCATCAAAAGAAATCAAGCTATCCAAAGTTAATCCACGTGATGCTTCCTGATAGGCAACAGAAGCATCTGTACTCGGTAGAGCAATAGTGATGTTTGACAAGGGTATTGTATAAGCTTTCGTGAGGAAATATGCCAGTAACCTGTCGAAGCCAAGACAGGCCCAGAGCGTGCGCCGCCGGATCTCTTGTTCCTTCGCAGAATGCTTGTGATGGTACTGTTTCTGAAGGCGCATGACTTGCGCCATGCGGATGGCTATCCCAGCATACATCCAGTGGCTAGAACCTGCATTGTTTAAAAACTCCGAAAGGGCAAGAACTAGATGAGCCTGAATGTTGCATACTATAAACTCCATTAGCAACCTCCGGCTGGCCGGGTGTGTAAGCGCAATCAGCAAGACAGAAACTTACCACTCGGCTCATCGGATGTTGATCGGGCAAGACACTTTGCAATAGCGGTATAATGGCCACAAACCTCCTTACCAGAGGCGAGACGAAAGTTTTCGGACGCTTCTTGCGGAGTTAGATGGCGAGAGCACAGGCAGATGATCGAGACGACCAGAAATTTCATCTCATCGGGTCGTTCCTCGAGATCGCTTCTGAACACAAAAGAGCAGAAGTTGTTCGTGATGTAGTACCTGAAGAAAATAGAATAGCATCTTCTTAAGGCCCCTCGAGGGGGCAATTTGACTTTGCTTAAGATGCTAGCGCTCGAAAACAGGCTCTCTAACGCTTCATAGTTCTCAGGAGTCTCCGAAGGCGAGTGGACGGGCGCAAGCGGCGGGTTGGGCCATTCGCAAGGCATGCCATGCCTTGAGCAATTACGGCATGTTGGGTGTACACCATCACACTTTGTCTTTCGGCGCCGACTACCATTCGTTAGAACGAGGTATCCATTTCATCGCCGCTTGCTGTTAGCATAGATAGGCCTCAGCCAAGAGGTATGCGATCATTCTAATTGCTTGGGAATAGAACGTACCATGCCCCACAGGCTTGCAAAGTCCTTCGAAGCTTCGCGGGTCTCTCCATTCTGATGACACCTCACAACAGGCAGATGTAGCCGGAGACTAATTCGGAACGTCTGTCGGGATGTCGTTGAAGCTGCCAGGTTAGTCATCCAGCATGACTCTGGAGATAGAGGGGTTTGGCAAGGAATTGCTCCACCCTGTTCCGAAGATGACGCTACGGTGCTCCCGAACCACTGCGCGGTTTCTCCGAAATATAGGTGGTGCAAGTTGTTAGACAACTTCCGTAAGCGAGGTTTTTGGCCAATTACTTTCACAAGAATTGCTGTTTTGATATTTCTATCGTGAGGTTTTTTTTTTTTTTTGCACTATTCAGGAATAGCCGGCTAATGTTTGCGATACATACTCTCTTCTTGAGGTTTACTTGTAGACCCTTCTAACGATGACAATAGAGAGAAGTACAGAGCCCACCACAGCCACAAATATTGAAGTAACTGGCATTATGGCACTGGCAAAAGCCACTCTATATTTGGAGACTTTGATTATATTA